GGCAGCTGTTGTCAAGTGGACTGATTTGCAGTAGTCTGATCAGGTAACTCAATACTAGTTTAGAATCACGCAGCTGCCTCTCTGTGTAATGTAACTTTAGGTAACCATGGTACCACTCTCAGTGTTTTGTATAATAGCTGCTTAGCGTCGTGTTGCCAATGGCAACGGGTATAAACGGTCACATGATCAAGACTGACCAATGGTGTAGGATGACCACTCTCTGACTTGCTTTCTCCAGTACTGTATTGAAATCACCCACTCTCTGGCGTGTTCCCTTCGGTACTGTATTGAAATCACCCACTCTCTGGCGTGCTTCCTCCAGTACTGTATTGAAATCACCCACTCTCTGGCGTGTTTCCTCCAGTACTGTATTGAAATCACCCACTCTCTGGCGTGCTTCCTCCAGTACTGTATTGAAATCACCCACTCTCTGGCGTGTTCCCTTCAGTACTGTATTGAAATCACCCACTCTCTGGCGTGCTTCCTCCAGTACTGTATTGAAATCACCCACTCTCTGGCGTGCTTCCTCCAGTACTGTATTGAAATCACCCACTCTCTGGCGTGTTTCCTCCAGTACTGTATTGAAATCACCCATACTACATACTACATACTACATACTACATACTACATACTACATACTACATACTACATACTACATACTACATACTACATACTACATACTACATACTACATACTACATACTACATACTACATACTACATACTACATACTACATACTACATACTACATACTACATACTACATACTACATACTACATACTACATACTACATACTACATACTACATACTACATACTACATACTACATACTACATACTACATACTACATACTACATACTACATACTACATACTACATACTACATACTACATACTACATACTACATACTACATACTACATACTACATTACTTTGTTGCTCTGACACATCACTATTATAACATGACCACAAATATGGCCACGGAGATCAATCTCTATTATAATTATTCCAAGTCAAATTAATCAGAAACTTCCCGACTTGTATAATGCACCTGCTACATTTATAATGGAATCACCGAATCATCAAATCAGGTGAAAATTTGTCATGGTAAGGTGCTAGGTGGTAATATAGAAGGAGAGCGTAACCATGGTAACCGTTAGCAGGTAACGTGATATTGTGTGATCAGTACATTATCGCAGACGTGCACTTACAATAGCAATACTAGTCCCTATACACAATACTACAACTACTAGTACTAGCAGTGGTGTAACTAGCTGCATCTCTCTGCAGTACCAGTACACTTGAAGATTAAATACCACCTTAATAAAGCGGTCAGTTTAATAATCATCAGAGAGAGAAACTCATATTTAGTGAGCTCTGTGTGTGTATTTGATGTGTTAGTAAGTTCGCTTTTCTGGTAATTTATTGATAATATATTGCTTGCCAGCACTGGGATTGATAGTTTATTTGTGTTTGTTTCGGTGCTTTACTTATTGCTTACTTAGGGGTGGTTCACATATTACGTAATCAGCTGAGGGGAGGGGGGAGGGTGAAAATGTTCCAAAAAATGATTACGTATTCTCGCACTTTAATACTTGATTTACAGTAGCACTTTAATACTTGATATACAGTAGCACTTCAATACTTGATATACAGGAGCACTTTAATACTTGATTTACAGTAGCACTTTAATACTTGATAAACAGTAGCACTTTAATACTTGATTTACAGCAGCACTTTAATACTTGATAAACATTAAACATGAATAGCACTTTAATACTTGATATATACAGCCTACATACATACATGTTACATGGCGAGATCTCCATCCAAAAGGATTAGTCTGCGTCGACTGCGTCATTACTTTGTATTATACAACTTCGGCGGGTAACATTTCTCCATCCCTTTCGGTCTGCAGCTAATCTTCTCATACAATCAATCGTGAGTCCATTACGATCCAATCTCTGCTCAGCATCCTCAATGAATACATCATTTAAGCTCTTCCTAGGCCTGCCTCTTGATCTCTTCCCATGCTTGGGTTTCCATTCAAGTAAATAGTTGGGCAACCGATCTTCAGGCATTCTACTGACATGTCCAAACCAACGCAGCCGTTTTGTTGTTATTATGTCAGCAAGGGCAGTTATTGATGCCCTTCTTAAAACATCCTCATTACTTACTCGATGGAACCACCTCACTCTCAGGATTCTTCTTAAGCAGTACTGATGGAAAGACTCCAATCTTCTTGTCTGCACTTGAGTCGTGTTCCATATCTCACATCCATAGGTCAGAATGGTAAGAACAGCTGCGATGTAGATTCGCACTTTGTTGTTAATGCTTATGTTCTTATTCTTCCAAATGTTGTTGAGTTGGTTAAAAGCTCCGGTTGCTTTTCCAATCCTGACACTTATTTCTTTATCAATCTTGCCATCTGATGTAATTTTGGCACCCAAATAAGTGAATTGAGTGACCTGCTTTGCAGAGTTTCCATCGACAGTTATATCTATGGTCCTATTCTCTGGGAGTGGGTGCTGCGATGTATCTTTCCCAATGACCATGATCTCTGTTTTCTTTGCGTTCATCTTTAAACCCCCAAGTCCACAGTATTTCGCAATATTGTCCGTAGTTTCTTGCAGTCCTTCAACAGTGTCATCCATTCCTGCGATGTCATCAGCATAGTCAAGATCAATGACACATTTTTCCGGTTGTCTGGAACTTTGTCTGTACTGAAGTGTAAAACCACAGGATATATTCTTAAACTTCTCTGCAAGTTCTAATCCCCAGTTAAGTACAAGATTAAAAATAGGGGGCCCTTGCACATCACCTTGTCCAGTCCCCGAATCGACATCAAACCATCTTGTCAATTCTCCATTGACACGAACTGCACTTTCAGTTGCTCTAAAGAACGCTTTGAAAACATTGATATATTTTGTCGGAAGACCATAATGTTCAAAAGCTTTCCAAATAAAGTCACGATTGATTGAATCAAAAGCAGCTTTAAAATCAATAAAGTTTATGTACAAAGGGACGTTGAATTCTATACAATTGTGTATTATACAATGAAGTGAGTACAGCTGATCTATACAAGAACGGTTTCTCCTGAAACCACACTGATTCTCTCTGAGTAATTTTTCAAGCCCATTACTCAGTCTTTTTAAGGGGGGGGGGGGGGCCAATGGATATTTTTTTGTGAAACTTGATTTCAAGATAGCAGTTGACCAACAAACTAAGACCAGTGACCGAACTTTTGAGGGGGTCCCGGACCCCAACCGCCAAACGATGCCCGCAGGGCAGCCACGCCCATATTTGGTCCAAATTAGGCCCAATTTAGCCAAATACTCTGAACATGCCCAAAACCCAAATTTTAGGTGCTCTACTTGTAGCTAGTGGTCTCTTGAAGTCGTATATGAAATTTCATCAAGATTGGACAAAAAATGACTGAGTTATGAGCCAAAAACCATATGCCCATATTTGGGCATACGCACCAAATTTGGTAGATTTCGTCCCATAAATTGGTCAAATATCAATATTTTTCACTGAAACTTACTTTATATGAAAGGTAAGCCTAAACTACATATTCTCTGTAAGTTATAGCTTTATATCTGTTTAAATGTGGATACTAAGGCGAAAAGACCACAAAAAATGAACTAAATTGCCCATATCTTGGTTCGCGATATTCGCGGAATTGATCTCATTAAAATTGTAACAACTCAATCAGTTTTCAAAATTTTTCCATGAAATTTTCGGAATCGACTCGAAATCGCATTTCCACCTTAGTTTGAGAATAGATTTTTGATTAAGGCCTCAAAAAAAATTTGGCGGCCAAATTCTGAATTTCTCCGGGAAAATTTTGGAATTTGGCCGCCAATTTTTTTTGGAGGCCTAAATCAAAAATCTGTTCTCAAACTAAGGTGGAAATGCGATTTCGAGTCGATTCCGAAAATTTCATGGAAAAATTTTGAAAACTGATCGAGTTGTTACAATTTTAATGAGATCAATTCCGCGAATATCGCGAACCAAGATATGGGCAATTTAGTTCATTTTTTGTGGTCTTTTCGCCTTAGTATCCACATTTAAACAGATATAAAGCTATAACTTACAGAGAATATGTAGTTTAGGCTTACCTTTCATATAAAGTAAGTTTCAGTGAAAAATATTGATATTTGACCAATTTATGGGACGAAATCTACCAAATTTGGTGCGTATGCCCAAATATGGGCATATGGTTTTTGGCTCATAACTCAGTCATTTTTTGTCCAATCTTGATGAAATTTCATATACGAGTTCAGGAGACCACTAGCTACAAGTAGAGCACCTAAAATTTGGGTTTTGGGCATGTTCAGGGTATTTGGCTAAATTGGGCCTAATTTGGACCAAATATGGGCGTGGCTGCCCCGCAGGCACCGTTTGGCGGTTAGGGTCCGGGACCCCCTCAAAAGTTCGGTCACTGGTCCTAGTTTGTTGGTCAACTGCTATCTCGAAATCAAGTTTCACAAAAAAATATCCATTGGCCCCCCCCCCCTTAACAACACAATTTGGAATAACTTTGATATAGTTGAGCGTAAAGTTATACCTCTGTTATTGTTGCAATATGTGAGGTCCCCTTTCTTTGGGATGATGGTGATTATTCCTTTTCTCCAATCATTAGGAATATCCTCACTTTTCCACACAGTTTCAAAAAGATCCTTTAACCAAGGCAGAAGTCCAGGAGAACCGTACTTTAACTGCTCATTTGAAATTTCATCAATTCCAGCACTCTTGTAGTTCTTCAACTTCTTGATAGCTTCCTCAATTTCAAACAAGGACGGTGGTTCATCATCATTACTAAGGTATTCAAAAGAAAGTAAATTTTCATCCTGATCCAATATAGAGAAATCCACCGCATTTGCTGCTGGCGTCAAGAGTTCTTCAAAATATTCGGCCCAGCGATGTGATTGAGCTTCGGGATCTGATATAAGCGTCCCATTCTTATCCCGCACTGCCGCAGATCTGTTTACTCTCTTGTTTGTTAGGGATTTATTTTCTGCCAAACATCTCTTTGTTGACCCTGCTTGGCAGCATCTTCTAATTCCTCAGCTATTCTAACAGCCCAAGCATTATCATCTCTTTTACAGTTCTGCCTAACAAGACCGTTAATCCGCGAGTACTTAGCACGGTTCTCAGCAGTACTGGGTTTCTTTTTAATCTCCCCTCGTTCTTTTAGGAGATTCTTAGTATCCCTTGAGAGATGTTCTGTTCTCTTTTTCCGGCCCCTTTCACCCAGAACTTCAAATGAAACATCAGTTATTATATCTCTTAAATTTTGCCACTGTTCTTCTAAAGGAGAGTTTCCATGCTCCTGATCGTTGTTATAGTACTCTTCAGCTATTCTGTTACTATATTCCTGGCTCTTAGATCTATCACGCAGGTGCTCTAAAGCAGGCTGTCTTACACGCTTCTTTCTTTTCTGAGGACACTTAAGTTTAATAGATACATATCCTCTAACCAGATAGTGAGTAGTATTTATATCTGCTCCTCTCATGCTCCTGACATCAAGCAAAGAATGGCTCCATCTCGTCAAAATACACATATGGTCAATTTGAGTGACGGTGTTACCATTTGGGGATCTCCATGTTGTCTTGTGGATATCCTTGTGTTCAAAGAGTGTGCTTCCAATCGTCAGCTGGTGCATAGTATAGAAATCTAGCATCCGTTTTCCGTTATCATTCGATTCTGTGTGATATGAGTGTTTTCCTATAACACCAGGGTGAGCATCAGTATCCCTTCCAACACGAGCATTAAAATCTCCTAAAACTATTTTTATATCATGAGCAGGTAGTCCCGATTGAACATCATTCAATTCCTTGTAGAATGAGTCTTTTAAACTGATTTCTGCATCCTCAGTTGGAGCATACACAACTGTAACACTAATGTTGATGTGTTTGCTATGTAAACGGGCAGTCATAAGCGTCGAGATTGTCTTAACCCTGCCTTAGTCAGTTGAAAGTCTGATAGCATATGTTCCGTTTGATTTGACCAAACTAATGCCTTTCATTGCTTTATAACCCGTCCTGATACAGGGGTGTATGATATGAGAGTATTCTTCATCTTTTTGGAAAGAACAACACCAACTCCTTCTCTCCGTACTCCATCGCTCCTGCCAGAATAAACCAAAACAGCCCCATTGCTCAAAGTCTGAGTTCCTGATCCAGCCATATGTGTTTCAGTTACCCCAATACAGCCTGGCAATTCTTTATATCCGGATTACATCATATCTTCATTATTCTTAGAAATTGATTATAAGATTGCGTCAAGTTATCCATCGTGTTTTCAGTAGCCTAGCAACTGATCAATATTGTTCAAGCTCTCGAGTTATTATTAAAATGATGCATATTTATATATATATACATTAGTTAGCCATAGAAGTTAATAAAACACGCACGTGATCTCGATTGTCTGTCATTAAAACCTTTACAATTATGATATCCTTAAGTTATTTGTTATATTAATATAGTAGTTTGAAAATATGATAGAATTAGTGTAATAACACGTGCCTACGGCCGGGACTTCACTATCGCAGTTGAATTGCAAAAGTATTAAATAAACAGTGCAAAAGTTAAGGCAGTATCCACTATCCAGATAGCCCGACCCCTGTTCGCGAACAACCGTTCGCGAACAGTTGTACACTATATGAGTATATGCAATATGACCGCTTCAATCTATTGATTGGTTACCAGATCATATGACCGCATATCAATCATGAAATGTTATGAAATTTAATGGTATGTAAGGTATCTTGGATGCAATTAGTTACGATTAGCATAATTTGCCAATAATTGTAGCGTATTAAATTGCTGGATCAAACTATTCATTGCTCAATGAAATAAATGATAACGATTTAAATGTGTTATATACGTCGTTTGTTTTTGGTGGAGTATTTATATCAGTTGCCATCATCAACAACAACAACAACTATTCCTGACTACTCTTCTGTATACTAGACGAAATTAATGGACCCACGGCCTCCCTAGAGAATGCTCGAGACTTCCTATTTCAGAAAAACCCTGCGTGAACCCTGCTTGATTCATTGTCAAGTGGTTCACATCATCGCAAGCAAGTCTGTGTACTGTTATTATGCAGTCATATGATCTGGTAACCTATCTGGATACTGCCAAAGTCCAATGAACTCGGTTAGTCGAAACCGATCGCATTGGAAAACATTTAATTCTGAACACCCAACACGTATCTAATAGTAATACTTAATAGACTCCGCTACCAAATTACCTAATTATGCACCAAAGCTGTAATTATGGGAGCTATAAATGGGAGAAAGAGTGTGAGAGAGAGGGAGAAAAAGTGAAACACTTTAGTATCGAATTTGGGGTACAAAACCATCAATTAGACCACTTATCGCCGGCAAATTTTTTAAAAATTTGCTTATTGGCTTCGTCAAAGGTTTGTCGAAACTATACCAAAAAACACCAGTCCCATAACTCCAACCGTTTTCTTGATTAAGCCGTTCGGAAATTACACACAAACGTACAAACCCATATATTTATTTGGATTATTAGTATAGACTATAATAGATATATATTGAAGCCGTTCGGAAATTACACACAGACGTACAAACCCACACATTTATTGGGATTATTAGTATATACTATAGATATATATTTATATATATTGAACCCACATATTTATTGGGATTATTAGTATAGACTATAGATATAATATATAATTAGCAAACACCTTCTGGATTGATGATCCAGTAAAGCAATAAAGCGATGTAGCTATATCAGATTAATATAGTTACATGGTTTGAGCTGATCACTGCCAGCAGTGCCTGAAAGTTTAACCCATATCAACCCAGTAACCACTATATTAAGATACTAGTGTAACCCGGGATTTCACTGCCGCAGTTAAAAAGGGTAGGAGTATTTACCCGCTGAGTCAAAACCCGCATTAGGTGATCCAATAGTTTCTTAAACAATAATCTCATAATCATTTATTTCTTGTGGATCATTAAGTCATTATTAGCCACGAGGCACCACATTCCATGATCATAAGGTCTGAACACCGAGTATTACACCTCATCACTCCCGTCTTGAACCGCTTTCTATTTTTATTTAAATCGTTATAGAAATTAACCCTTGTTAACTCCGCACCACACCCGCCTATTATATTTGAAAACACGCATAACATTCAGGCTTGTCCGCCGTGGCTGAATGGATCGGCGGCGGCGTTTCACTAAAATTACACCGGCGGCGGCGGCGTACGCCGGCGTGTGCCGTGAAATCAAGGCCAACTGAATTGAGGTCTATGAAATATGAATATGATCATGTACTTAATTTGGGTAATTTAGACTTAACTTAAACAAATGATGTTGGTATATTGTTATGGTATTATCTGCTATCAAATAAAAGTTGAGACAAATTGATACAATTATTTTATTTAAGGTAAAATACATAAACAATAAATTATTGCTGAAATCAATGGATCTCTCAATCTTTTTTGTTGGAAACAAAATCATAGTTTTTAGAACAAAACAGTGCATATTTGAAATTTTTAACATTCATCCTAGATCGCTGACTAGAAAGAATTAAACCTGCAGCCGACCAGGTTCTTTCAATTTCCGCACTACTGGCAGGTATACAATGCACTATTCTTACTATGTTTGAGAGTATTGGGAAAGTTTTTTGCCTATCGGCCCAAAATCTTAAAAGTTCGAATTGTAAAATTTCTTCTTCAGTCAAACTTATGGGTAGGTATCTGCTCAGTTCTTCTGATAATCAATATTGTTAAGTTAGCTAAAGGTGTGTATCATGTGTGTGTTGCCCCTAGCCGCTAATCGCTATCAGTAACACTGATATCTTCAAATGAAGACAGAATTATTTTGAAGTCAGAAAATGCACGCCGTACGCCGATGTACGCCGGGGTGTATCGGCGGCGTTCGGCGTGGCAAAATCACCCGGCGGCGGCGGCGTTCGGCGGCGGCGGACAAGCCTGATAACATTGTCGTATGAACTCTCTCTCTCTCTCTCTGCAGTCCAAACAGACCCCAAACACTAACAGTCCTCTTCCCCTAATAAGCTTATGGTATTACATTTACATTACAGCGAATCTTCCCGGGCTAACGCAATTATGACGCTACTTAAATGCAGCTACATATTATACAGTAATGAGATATAGAGAGTAAGCCCCGTAACTCTTGCCGTTCTGCTCAAGCCATTTTATGCAACATTTGTGGTACAAAACCGTCAATTAAACCACTTACCACCGGCCGATTTAAAAATATTTGCTTATGGGCTTCATCAGAGTTTTGTCGGTACTATACCGAAAAAACCAGTCTCGTAACTCTTACTGTTCTTTTTTGTATAACCGTTCGGAAATTACACACAGACAGACACACACACAGACACACACAGACACACACACACACACACACACACACACACACACACACACACACACACACACACACACACACACACACACACACACACACACACACACACACACACACACACACACACACACACACACACACACACACACACACACACACACACACACACACACACACACACACACACACACACACACACACACACACACACACACACACACACACACACACACACACACACACACACACACACACACACACACACACACACACACACACACACACACACACACACACACACACACACACACACACACACACACACACACACACACACACACACACACACACACACAGACACACACACACACACACACACATTCTGCTGTTATTAAGTTGATTAGAGTGTAGATAATCATTACCTCACCAGAAATATCTATATGGTACAAAATTCTGTGGTTTTTCAAGAAAAACCCTATATTTTCGGACTAGCAAAATTCCGGTCACCGTCATTATTTCCCCAAAAATTATTTTTCATGTGTTTTGCTTAATTATGACTCGATTTACTATCAATATATTAAGTTATAAATATGACTATCAAACAAATGAACACTAGTATTCGAGCATGAATATTATTATTATTAATGAAACATCAGAATCCCGAAGCTAGCTAAATTAATCAAAATGGGCCGTGCTCTCGAAAATTGGGTTTAATTTCTGTTAAATAAAGAAATGAAAAAATCCCCAAGTATCATGATTTAATTAATTGGACGGTTTTTGGATAAAATCTACATATTTTTGTTTCCACATCATTTCGGTCACCGGAATTATGTCTGCTGAGGTAGTTAGGAGGGGTGGTGGGATTTATCTATCAGTCAAGAGGGGCTGATGAAAAGGAAATGAAGTCATAACTTCATTAACAACGTGCACCATTTCAAATAGTTACCATGGAGAGGTGATGCAGAGACACGTGTACCATTTCAAATAGTTACCATGGAGAGGTGATGCAGAGACACGTGTGCCATTTCAAATAGTTACCATGGAGAGGTGATGCAGAGACACGTGTGCCATTTCAAATAGTTACCATGGAGAGGTGATGCAGAGACACGTGTACCATTTTAAATAGTTACCATGGAGAGGTGATGCAGAGACACGTGTACCATTTCAGATAGTTACCATGGAGTGGTGATGCAGAGACACGGTGAGATTATGATGAACTAATCAAGAAATAACGCTACACTACAGCTGTAGCGTGTAACACTAGGTCTGCAATCTTATTTCACTGC